ATGGGGTGGGTGGGTGGGTTTTTTGCACTATTTTATTCACTGAAACCCACCTCAATGTGAGATTTTTGTAGGTATTCTGTGAAAATATTTTCTGTACACATGGAAAAACTGTTTTATCATCTCCCAATTTGAAAAAATCAAAATAATGTTATCAGAGAAAGTCTGCGCATTGCATTTAAAAAAAAAAACCCCACATTATAACTGCAAATAATCGATTTTTTTTAAAGATTAGCAAGATGAAATAGAGGCACAGTGTTTGTTGGAGGATTTAAACGAGGAAATAAAAATTAAATAATCAATATTAATCACATTTTTTATGAATTCTATAATTTTTTACCAACATATTTTAAAAATTTATATCACAATCTACCAAAGACTCGAATTATAGTCTAAGATATTTTAAGTCGCTCGTCTCGCACGATTGTAACCTCTAAGGGAGCACGCCTTGGTGCGACTTAACAAAAGCCAGCTTGTTATTACGTGTCAGATTCCTGTTGCTTTGACTTCAATTAAACCTCTTGAACATACACAACTGTCCCGCAAAATTTTTCGGTGGTCCTGCTCTTTGCCACGTGTCCCCTCAAGCATTTTCTAGTACAGTGCGGGCGAGAGTGGAAAGTCATATTGCCACTACCAATTGTTTTCCTCCCATTCTCCAAATTTATCCCCCTTTCATGGAAATTATTTGGAAAATGTTTTGATAGTGAAATTTCGAAGAATACGTGACTAAAGGTTAAAAAAAAAAAAAAAAAAGTATTTTGAATTTACTTGCTAAATTTCAGAGATTAAAATTCACTCTATTTTTAATTTAGTTATATATTTCATGATTTAAATTATCTTAAATCAAATTTAAATTATTTGACTATATATATATATATATATAGCTCCTATCTGGTAACAATTTTTCATTCCAAAAGATCAAATTTTAATTGTTATTTCATTATTTCAATTGTCATTTTTAATTTCTTCACTCACATGTAGGATCTACCTTTTTTTTTTAATAATCAAAAAATTAATTTTCATAATCACTACTGAACATGCTCGTAAATAAAAAAAAAATGACCACATCGATGAAACTCTTGGATTTACCAAATCCTCATCTTCAACCAAGACCCTAACATTAAGAAGAACTGAAACCGAAGAAGCGAAAGAGTCAACCGGCATATGTATTTATAAGAAAGAAAGTCTTGACCGGGCGTGTCCTCTTCTTGCTACGTAGGGGAATAGGGCGGTGAAGCTTTCCTCGCGCTTAGCGCTTGTTTGGCACCTTGCGTTTGATGCCTTCCCCACAGGATAAAGGGTATCCTCTTCTGCTTATTCGTATGCGTATGCTGTTGCTTTTTCATATGCTTCATCTGATGTAGATGCGTCTGTATCTTCGGCTTAAGCTTCATCCTCTGCTCCTATTGATTCGGGGTCTATACCCATAGGATCAAGGGGCTTCATTCGATAAGGCGAGTGGCTTCGCTCCTTCTCGAAGACCGGATTTATGGTCAACGACTTTGACAGCCTTTCCTTGTTTGAAGTTTAGGCTTTAACCGACTTTTCATCTCCTCCCTCCGGCGACACATAGCAAATTGGTATAAGAGCCAAAACGAGTCCGTACCCCTTTCTCTAGATCGGCCACCCCACCAGCTTACATATATATTTATAATAAGTAAAGCATAAGGAAAGTAGAAGTTAGATTGCAATCGAAAAGTGATAAAATTCATATTAAAAAATTTAAACGATGAAGACATATCATCCATATCCAAAGACATTTCAGAAGAAAATTGAAATATTAATTTTTTAGTAATTAAGATTTATTTTTCTTTATCACCTTTTTTGTTTTCAAGTACCTACTTGCAATAAGAAATTTGGAGCCTGTTTGAAAGTGATTTTGAAAATTGATTTTTTGATCGTTAGGAAAAAGTGGAGTCCACCTGTGAGAGAAGAAGCAAATATGACGAGTAGAATAGTGAAATAACGATCAAAAAATCAATTTCTTGCGAAAAAAAATTACTTCCAAACAGACTGTTGATGTAGAATATGTCAAAAGCCAATTGATGGGTCCAATAGCTACAATTCGAAGTTAAAAAATATTTGACTTAGAAGTTAATTATTAACGTAAGCGTGTTGTTATTCATTGCCCAAATATTTTCCCATTCTTCTTCACGAATGCACATATCCACACTTCTTATGTGTATATATATTCTTATATCCTCCATTCTTGTAAATTTTAAGTGGTTGATTTATCGGTTACTATAAAAGAAAAATCTGACAATTGCAAGTTTAATGAATTAAATCTAATTGGAAATTGGGTTTCGATAGGCAGGTATGAATTATAATGGTACGATTGATGAGGAACCCAGAGGGGATTATTTGAAATTGGAGGGGAGTTTTGATGGAGGGGTCCACGGGGAGACATCGACGTCATCGGGTTGCGCCGGCGGGTGGTTCTGGTCGTTGTGGTGGTGGTTGAGGCTAGTGTTGGTGGTGACATTTTTAGGGGTCTTGGCTGTCATTTTCTGTATATGGGTCGGGCCCTTCTTCATGGACAAGGTCATCTTTCTTCTAGGAAATACTTTTGCGTTGAATGTTAATTATTTTTTTTGGCTTTCTCTAACTCTTGAGTTTAACATTGGGCGTTTTCTTCTAGCATTGTCGAAATATTAAAGCGTATGGCTCATGTTTATAAACTGTTTATAAATCCACTTGTTTCTATTTATTTATAAGTTAACTGTTTATAAACACTTCCCAAACTTGCTCTGCCTTCTGTTCAAGTGTTTCTCATTGTCATTCATGAGCATTTTTTAGTTTTTAAATTATAATGCAATAATCTATTTTCTGTTTATTGAAGTTTTTAATTTTCGGAATAATGGAAAATTAAATCTTGTACAGTCTATCTGTGTTGAGAAATGTTCTCATTTTGGAGAAGGCATTACAGGAAGCAGAGTTAGCTTGGGAGAGAAATGTGATGTGGAAGTAACAATATCAGCAGTTGTTTGGTAATAATGACCGAACGAAATTGTAGAATTCTTCTAGGAAATGAGGAAGTTAAGTGTGATTATGGGGAAAGGCAAATTCCTAGTGTTGTTATTGGTCTCTCTACTTCTAAGTTTTTTTATGGCTTTTAATTGGAAAGTAATACTCTATTCTTGATTTTAGTTTTGTATAGAGTATATAATGTCATCTAGAATTTGTAAATTCTTTCCTTTCATTAATATTAGCAGTTGTGCTATATGTACATAATAGGTTTATATAATGGTATACATGTACATGATGTGGTGAGATATGATTGGATCATAATTTTTTCAATTAAATAAAAAAAATAAAATACTCCTCTCTTTTTGACACTTCATCTGTACGAAAATCATTATGTATCTACGTATGTACAAATTACATTATTCTAATACTATTAGTAAGTATGTGTATATGCATCTTAAAATGAATTTGAGAATCTATATATCTTAGCTTGTTAGTGCCAATTTGACATTAAAAGATTTCCATGGTAGTTTCTCTTTGTATAATCTAATAGAAGGTAGCTGATATGCATGGATAATAATAATAAAAGAAAAAAAGAAAAAAAAAAGAATTGTATTTATACAATTAAATGTGTTTTGTTTGGAGGAGAAGTTAAGGGAAAGGAATGGAATTGACAAATTAGTTATGAGGGAAATAGTGGAAAATTGAGTTATACTACAGAAAGAACATATCTTGCAATCCGTGGAATCATTTTCCTTTTATACGCCTTTCTGTATCCAAACGCATAAGTTGAAGATTCATTATTCCGTACATTTTTCTTTTCCTTAAGCTGAATGGATGGTGAAAGTTGGCCAGCATGTTTTTTAGAAATTATGAAAAGTTTAATCAATCTATGTTCTTCCTTTCCTTACCATCTTCTATCATGTGAATGACATTGTGAACAAAATGTCTAATGTCACACCTAGAAATCAAGCAAGAAGCCTAGATGTGGTTTGCTACCATTTAAATCATTGGTCATGGTTCCCATCTGGTCATATTGCTTTCTAACTGCATCTCGTCTTTTCTCCAGGAAATTATACCCATAATTAATTGGGAAACGGAAACGTTCAGTAAACAAGTGCTGGCACTTATAGTCTTTGGTTCTGTGGCATTATTTCCAATCCTGCTTTTACCTTCTACCCCTTCCATGTGGGTTGCAGGGATGACTTTTGGATATGGGTATGGTTTTCTGCTGATCATTGGAGCAGTTGCAATTGGTGTGTCTCTTCCATATTTCATTGGTTTTCTTTTCCGTCATAAAATCCATGTACGTGCCTTTCATAATCTATTCTGTTTAGTGTTTCCTACAACAAGCTACCTTTGTCTGTCACATTATAGTAAATGTGGTCTAATCATTTCTTCTTCTTACAGATGTGGTTAGAGAAATATCCAAAGAAAGCTTCCATCATAAGACTAGCTGGTGAAGGAAATTGGTTCAATCAATTTAGAGCTAATGCTTTGATTAGGATTTCTCCTTTTCCTTATGTCATATATAACTACTCTGCTGTGGCTACTAATGTTGGATATGGTCCATACTTATTGGGGTCACTAGTCGGAATGGTACCAGAAATATTTGTTGCACTCTACACGTAAGTTTCTCTTTCTATCTATCTGCCTACCTTATCCCCCTCACATGCGTTCATTGCCCTCCTTCCATTATGTATTACGAAATTATAAGCCTAATTTTGTTTGTAGCAAGTTGCTGGTGTTATGAAACACGAACCTACTGTGTACAATCATCCATGTACATTCAAATGCATCGCATTCATTTATTTTAGTATATTCATCCATATATGATCATTCACTGTCTTCTTGTTGTATATATCTCTTAATGACGTATGTAATCATATATTACTTCTTTGATTCTGATGTTCAATTTAGGGAAAATTGCAACAGAGGTCCTAAACCTTTCATTTTGTTGCAGAATATACCTTAACCTTTCATTTTTGCAGCCACAATCCCAAACCTTTTACTTTAATTGCAAACGGAGTCCATTGCAGACATTCCATGAGTCAACATTCAAATTTGATTTTTGACTCAAATTGACAAATGAAATGAGGGGTAAAATGGTCCATTTATAATCTTATAATAAAATAATTAAATAAAAAGCAAAATAAAAAAATAAACTTCATCATCTTCTCCAAAACACCCCCACCCCCACCCACACCACCTCCACCTTCAAAATCTAAAACTACAGTTGCCTTTCCCAAAATTTCACATGGTTACCTTTCCCAAAATCTAACCATTACAATTTGAGCCTTTGAAATAGATCTAAACATTGAACAGATCTATTTACACTTCATCCAACAATAATCCCAAAATTTGAAGCGAAATCTGCGGAAAAAGAGAGGAGAAGCAAATAATGGATGTCAAACAGGGTCTGAAAAAGAAAAGCCATTTGAACGGCAGCTATATGAGACCACACCCAAGGTAAAATCAGATCGTTACTAGAAATTGGAGGTAAAAATAAATTTATAGTCCCATTTTCAGAATTGGGTTTAAATATTTAAAGAAGCCAACAAAAATCAGCTGAAGAAGAATCTAGAAGATTGCCACTTTTTTGAAGCCAGTGGTGGTGGTGATCGATATAACGTGCCGGAGAACATTAATCTTTTTGTGTATGCACTTGTGGCAGATGGTAAGAGCATGGTCGAGGGATTTTGTGAGATCAGCGATGACACGACGGATAGCGCGTTCGTAGATGTTGGAGGAGGCGGTGGTGAGGCGAGCGACGGCACGGAGGTGGTGAGATAGTTGGGCTAATTGGGTGGCGAGGTTGTTGATTTTTGAGGGGAGGGTAAGGTGGGGTGGGGAAGATGAAGTTTATTTTTTATTTTGCTTTATATTTAATTATTTTATTATAAGAATATAAATGGACCATTTTACCCCTCGTTTCATTTGTCAATTTGAGTAAAAAATCTAATTTCAGTGTTGACTAACGGATTTCTGGACAGAATGTGTGCAATGGACTCTGTTTGCAATTAAAGTAAAAGGTTTGGGACTGCGACCGCAAAAATGAAAGGTTAAGGTATAGTCTGCAATAAAATGAAAGGTTTGGGACCTTCGCTGCAATTTTCCTTTCAATTTACTACCAAATCTCTTGTATTGAGTAAAACTTGGTTTTTTGGTCATTGTAATGTACAAATGGAAGCTTACAATATCCTTTTTATGCTAAAAGTTAAGCCGATCAGTTGGTGGCAATGGAAGTGTGTGGTATCCATCCCCCACACCCATTTAAAACAACCCTGGTGTCAGTATGGCAAAGAGCAGCCATAATCATTCTCTTCTCGGGCCACAAACTGCTGCCTGCTGACAACCATGTTCGCCCTCTGTCAAAAACCATCTTAATGCCACCATTTAGCACTTCAGCCTGCATTGACAGGAAATTCACGTGACCTGGTAGTGAGATTAATACATAGATTTAGGGTCCATTTGGCATGGCTTTTGAAAAGTTAAAAGCTGTTTTTGGACCCGTTTGGCTAATTTTATGAAAGCTCCTCTGCCAGTTAGAAGATCATTTAGAGTAAACTCGTCTAACGTGGCTTTCTATAAAAAACACTTTTGGAATAGAGAACTCTTTTAAAAATTAGTTTTCAAACAAAAATTAAGGTATCTTCATCCAAAATCTCTTCTACTGAAAGCAAAAGCTATGGCAAACGGTGTTTATATTCTTATTTCAGAAGACAATGGTGCAAAGCCTCGCTGAAAACTTTTAAGACTTGATACTAGAAGCATTTGGATTTGACTAGAAAATTTTGCATGGTGTGTCTACAGGCATTGTCTTTAGTAGCTTTCCAGATGGCTTATAAGAAACCATGTGTGCGCACACCTAATAAAAAAATGAAAACATGAAAAGTAAAGGAAAAATGAGGTAAGCCAAAGCTGCAGGCTCATGTTCATGTGTTTTGCTGTACTAAGTTCTTTTCCTTTTTATTTCCATAATCTATTTGGGTGTGTGCTTATATGAAGTTCACATTCATTGATGTCGTCTGCGTTCCATTTGCTGGCAATGTATGCTGTGTTTTGTTGCTTATGATAACTGAGACAATAAGCTTTGATTAAGTCATGCCGAACCTATGAGATTGATTGTTTTTTAATGTGGTCTGTTTGCTACCGGACATGGCAAATTGTACGGAAATTTAGCAGTTCACTTTCTGTTATCTTCTTCAGTCTTTAATGTTTCTTATCCGGACTTCTCTTCTTTTGGTGTGTGCCTTGTCCAAATCATGGGTTTCCTTGAGATACAAAATTTGCAATTAGGTAAGAAAATAGGGTTTTGGCACTAGCTCTCATAGTATGCAAATTTTTTGCTAGTTTCAGATTTTGAAATGTTTGTGAATGAACCATACCTTGAAATTGATGGTAATTCTCTTCTGTTCAATGTGGTAATTGTGAAATTGACACTGTATAATTATTGCTGAAACTCATGGAGTTTTTGGCTTTGTAGTGGCATCCTGATAAAAACTTTGGCTGATGCATCCCACGATCGGCACTCTTTGTCAGCATCACAGATCATTTTCGAAGTGATCGGATTTTGCATCACGGTGGCTGCAACAGTGATAACCACGTTGTATGCTAAAAGGCGGCTCAATGAACTGCAAAGGGAAGAGGAACTATTGTTGCAGTGATCTCAGGTTATCTGCCGGCAAAATTAAGTTGGAGAAGGCAATGACATCGTGTTCCTTCACCCGCTGGGGGTTCTTGACAATCACTTGTCAATATGGATGCACAGAGTGGAAGGGAAAAAGGAAGCTAACACGACTAATATAGGGATGTCGATTCTGGGAGTGGTAACTGTTAAAACCATTTATAGTTCCTTTCTCCTCTGTAGAATATAATTGTACATGATTGAAATCTGATCTTTTTAAGGGTTAAATTACTGTAACCATTGCTTTGCAAATACATAGTAGGTCATGTTAATGTTTATCTGTGTTATAAAATATAGCGCTTGTTTGGCTCCACTATTTGCAAAATCAAAATTCATTCCCATTTTTGCCTTGTAGTGTGAAGGAAGTCAACAATTGCGGCTACTAACGGTCCAATAATTCATTAAAATTTGGATGAAAATTGCCACCGAAGAAGACGATAATTACTTAAGTTATCATTCTCTTAATTTAAAAAAAAAAAAAAATGTCCTTGCCTGTTTAGAGGCGATTTTTACAAATTTTTAGCCCTTGTATGAGCCCCATTTTGGTGAGAAAATAAATTTTTGAATAGTGTATTGATAAAAAATATGTGGTTAAAAAATAAGAAAAATTTTTGAATTTGCGTGTAATATTATTTTATTAAATAATGTGTAATTGAAATAATGTTAAGATATTGTTAAAAATACATTTTTTTTTTCAAAAGAATGGAGTTCAAACAAGTAAATTTCGACCATTTGGAAATGTGGGTCTCCTATTTCTGCCGCAATTTTTGACTCAATATTTGCTAAATTATGACAAATCCCTTCATTCATTCTAATCGCGCTACACTTACAGAAAGAGGATTTCACAGGGTTTCAATAGAATGACGTGGCATATCGTGTAGAATAAAAAAAAAAAATAAAACACCGATTCTTACCCAAAATAGACGAATTCATTCCTAATTCAAATCTCCCTTTTGCACAAGCCCTAGAAATCTCGCGAAGAAAATGTCGATCGAGCTCCGTCCGACTCCTCCGTCCACAACGCCGCTGTGATATACATACCCATCTCCGTCCACACTGCCTCATTCCACATGCCCTCCTCTGCGATTGTAACTCCTCGAAATCTAAACCGGTCGAAGCCATTGCCTAGGTCAAAACCATCACAGGCGAAATCCGACCATCATCTCCATTCACAGACGCTACACTCATCTCCAGCTTAGTACGTCTCCGTCGTCCAAAATCGTCGTCCTCAGAACGACCTTCGAGCAACGACACACAGAAGGTGTGTTTGTGATTGCACTTGCACCTTTCTTCTGGCTACATATGGAATCATCTTATAATTACTTGGAAATTATACAGTTAGAACAAGTGACATTGTTCTTCATCTTGAACTGATTATCAATGTTGTTTCTGAATTGGAAAGTTTCTATAGTAATATAGAGTAAAATGCTTCTTACGAACTGCATTTCATACTGTGAAATGTGTTGCTCGAAAATCGCTGGTTTTGATGAAATATGTGTTCTGCATTGTATGTTATGCTTGCAGTGTATCGATTTATATAGCTGTCTGCATATTAGTTTGTGTAGTAATGACATTGAATTTGATTTTTTGATTTGTCGGGCAGGATGGGAGGACGGAATATTGCACGGTTGTATAAGCACGAAGCACTCCTTTACTGATTGTCCAGTAAAACGATGATGTCCACGGTGCGCATTGGGATTGCAGATGTGTTTTGAGGTTGAAAGGGAGACTAGTAATAAAGGGCAATTATTCAGAACCTGTAGTAGTAAGTGTGGATATTTTGATTGGGTCGTCAACGAAGAAGCAAGCGGAGAATCGAGCACTATTACTGAGGCATTTCATCCTGGGGCCATCGAAGAAGTCGATGGCTTGCCAAGCATGTTCGACAGTCTGGCTCGAATAGCTGAAAAATGAGACATTGAGATCTCATTGAACGTGACATTTCGCAAGGGAAAGCGAAGTGAGGACGTGAGTGGCAAAGGAGAAGCCCACGATTGATGTTTATCATGTAGCCGATTTTCGAAGTTTCTGATACAATGGTTTGTTTCTTGTTGGATAAATGTTGTCCAATATGATCCTTTAATGACATGGTGAAAATATGTTTTGTAGAGATAACTCATACTTTGGCTATATGGTGTTGGCATTATAATGTTTTGTAGTTCAATTGTTGGTAGTCTATGGAATCTGTGGTGTAGCAGTAGGGTTTTCTTCTTTGTGGAAATTATGACTTGTAGGTTGTCTTGGTTGGTGAATGCAATCCTTGTTTATTAATGTTATGGTTTATGGATTTGCTCAGAATTTATTAATGTTAACACTTTGTCGAGCCATGGTAAGCAAGTACCGTCTTAAAGCTGAAAGCTTGGTTAGTGGTTTCTTGTTTTTTTAAGTTTTTATTAACTCTCAGTACACATATTGAAACTCAAGATTGGATGTCTTTGATTCCAATTAAAACTTTGTGCAAACATGAAAACATTAACTTGTATTGAAGAACTCGACATTCTTGTACAATAACAACTTACATGATCACGGCTCTTATCTAACTTGGACAGCTTTTCAACTCTGAAAGGAATGATTTAGAGATTGAAAACTATGAGACAAATCTGTCATAAACTGAACCCTGCGGTAGCACGCCTCAAAACAAGGCTTATAAGTACACATCACACCATCAGCAGCTCTTGAATACATGTCACAGAACATGTTTACATGTTTGGAGACGTAGTACAATCCAAAGCCAAAAACCCAAAATAACATAGTACAATCCAAAGCCTAAAACCAAAAATAAAATGAATTCTCAATAATATCAAATAACTAACACGCAATTGTACAAGTGATCAAACTCGAAAGGCATTTATGGTGTTCGAAGAAGCTTGAATTGCTCAATCTTCATGCATTGCAGAATGTCAATCCAGTCATGAAAGAATTCCTATGATTTTGAGCTGCTTCCAGATTTTGCTGTAGCCTAAGAATACAGAATCCTTGGTGAGTAGTTGCCCAAATTGAGACTAGCGAATGAGATGACAATTTCAACTATTAACTACAATGCGGCTAATCAATGTCAAATATGAAAGGATGGATCAGCCATATGAATTTAGATGATTCAGAAGTAGCCAAAACCAATGATAAGAGTCATCAGTCATACAAGCTCAATGTCAAGTTATCCTTCTTTCTACCCATTTCTGCTGAATTAATCTGCTTTAGAATTTTTGATTGAAACTAGTGGGACATTCTTGATTATCAGTAGGCAAAATTCTTGGTTATCCAAATACCAAAAAGAAAGTCATAAACGGTCTCCAAAAATCCACACAAATCATTGCGTTTTCTTACACGAAAATCAAGAAAACTGATACAGTAAAATCATGATATTTCTGCCATGTTCCAAATCATTTGATCAAACCTATGAATCAATCAAGAACCTGTCCCTATCCAAAGGTGAGAAATATATGCGTTCTGGTTTAATATAGACAACATCAATGGAAAGGTAAGAACAAGCTCAAGCAAAGTTGTAGCCAGCTAAGTTACGGGTTTTACTTCTTTAATCTTGTTGAATTCAACCCGATATTCTTGCTATCGATTCAAGACCTAATGTTATAGTACTTACATAGTTACATTACAGGCTATGGTCCGCAAAGTTGTAGCCAGCCAAGAAATCAACCAGGTCGAAAGAAACCAGGATTAAAAAACCTTAAAATGGAGGGGATGGAATAGATGAAAAAGCAATACCCAGCTAGTCAAATTAAGACGAGTAAAAGCTTAACTGATCTTGAGTTCGAAGAAGTTCAAGGATTTAAGGATTTGGGATTCAATTTCGACAAGGTACAAGACTTAAATGCAAGTATAGTTCGCATACTCCCAGGTTTGAAAGACAAGAAGCAAGTCAAATCAGCAGAAGAAGAAAATATGAGGAGGCCATTTCTTTTTGAGGCGTGGATGGCATAAAACTCATCATCTTCTTCAAGCAAAAGGTCAACAGAAGACATGAAGACACAGATCAAATTCTGGGCTAGAGCTGTGGCATCTAATGCAAGTGCAATGCGCCAACTGACTTTTTTCCAATTTACCAAGTCTAAATTCTTCGAATCAGAAGTCAACTATAGTAAAAATCACCGATTGCTATTCTACAAATCGTTTTGAAAATCCTAGAAGTGAAGACAGCTTCATCAAAATCCTAGAAGTGAAGACATTTCCAAGAGACGAACAAGAAGTAAAACTTTCACCTGATCGGAATTTAACCCAACTTCAGCCGTTTCGATAAATGTAGCACCTTGCTGCGGAAAAGGTGGTGGAGCAAAGTACGGACTCGAGGATTGAGATTGAATTGTGGGGGATCAAAGTAGACGAAGGTAATTGTTGGGTAAACATTTGGCTCATGGCATCTCCCTACATCAAATAAGAACGTAAACGCACATTCATCAACTTAAAACTAGGAAAAATCCATAAACGTACCAACAATAGCTGGGAATATGAGAATGGTTTTAGTTGCAAACATTGAAATTCTGGAGTGATATTCACAACCGGTGTAGCGGCTTCCACGGGAAAATGATTATCCTTCGGTCTCTTCCCTTTGCATGTAGTCGAAGCAACCTACATATAAATCGAACATTAAATGATTTTTGTAATTGAGATCCTTTATGATTAAAGGGTTTATTACAACAACATACCTTCGCTTTTTTCGAAGTTGACTCCAACGGGCCCTTTTTTCAAAGTTTTCTTGGTGCCCCTTCCTTTTCGATAATTTGGGATCTAATATGCCCGTGCCGGCAGTATTTTGTGAATCATTACATTGGCTCGCTATGTGAGTAGTAGCCTGCGAAAGAACATTACTCCCACTACTAGAATCCAAAGACCGTAACTCTGCAGCTTGACATTGTATCCAATCCATAATCGCACGCGATCGCAATTCGTCAGTGCAAGCAAGGTCTGCCACCTCAACAAATGTCTGACACATGTCATCGTATCTCATTTGTTCAAGAGTGCTAACCAACCCAGCGTACTTCACAAAAACCCTTGTATGCGCTCTAGTGACATCTCTTCGCCATCTCCGCACTACATACCTCTCTGGCATTTTTGTGATATCATTACGGTCTAAGACAGTGATCGCATGCCTGCATATAATTCATCGAAACTCAAACAAATGGCAGCTACAAATAACTTCGCATGTGTCGTTTCGGTACAAGACATTGTATGTTTTCCTCTTCCTGCCCCCAGGGCAGTTCACAGACTCCCGAACCTCGTAAGTCGTCCCAAAACACTCTTCTGTGACTGAAGCGACGTCACAGTACATCTTTCCTGTGAACTCCTCCTGCACTTCCTTGAACTTCGAAATAGTGTAAGCAGACTGAAATTGCTTCTCCATTTCAAATGTTGTTGCACACGGCACCATTTGTGAGTATGGCTTGAATTTCGCCTGAAACTCCTTCTCGGCCTTATTCCTTAACGCCCTTTCATAATGTTCGACAAACTGTTTTAAAAAGGTCTTCGAGTGGACATATCCGTCGAAGAACGCATTCATACTTTCACTTCGTTGTGTCGTCGACATCCCTGCCCAGAAAGTGATTTTCAAGAAGCAAGGTACCCATTTACACCTGTTCTCATACAGCCCCAACAACCAATCATTATTGTGTAAGTCAAATCTACAGATCATATTCATCCAGCCATTTTCAAATTCGTCCTCGTGTTGCGAATCATATACTAGACCATGCATACAAGAAAATATTGAGCTTTTATCACTGTGATAACCAAACTTTTCTGGCAACTTCTTCATGATGTGCCATAAACACCATTTGTGTTTTGCATTTGGAAAGACAATCTCAATCGCATTTTGCATAGCCTTATCTTGATCAGTAATAACACCATGGAGAGGTCGACCGTGTATGCACTCGAGCCATGTCCTAAATAGCCATACGAACGTACTCGTATCCTCATTGGACAGCAAACCACAACCAAGCAGTGTTGATTGTCCGTGGTGATTTACTCTAACAAAAGGTGCGAAAGGCATATCATACTTATTCGTGAGATATGTGGTATCAAACGTGATAATATCTCCGAACTCTTTGTATGCTTGTCTAGACCTATTATCCGCCTAAAATACATTCTTTAGGCGTCTCTCATCATCTAAATCCATACTAAAATAAAATCCCGAACACTGTGATTGCATCTTCGAAAAGTATGATTGCAAAGCTGCGACATCTCCTTCTCCTAGTCTTAATCGTCTCACCCGTTCAATATAGGTCCGACAATCCCTCTCAAAAAAAGTCATAATTTCGTATCCACCTGCTTCCACAACTGTGGAGTTAAAGCTTTTCTGCAGTGGAATTCCTGCCACATCACTCACCTCAAGCTTCCTTTTCACAATTGCACTTAGTTCTCTATTGTATCGATAAAGTCTAGATTTTGAAGGGCTTGTTCTGTGATTGTGCTCAAGGTTCACAGTGTTGATTCTCCATTTTCCAAGGACATCTGCAGATGCAAATATCCTCGCTTTACAATCTATTTGACTCATTGGTTGTGGCTTCAAAACAGTGGTACTACTATTACTTCTTCGCCCTTCACAGCCACACGTGAATGTCACATATCTAACTACTCGTCGTCGTCTTTTTTTGAATTCCTTCTCCTCACAGGAAAGCCAACGGCGTAAGCATATCTCTTGTAGAAGTCAAACAACTCTGTCTCACTTGCGAATGTCATTCCAACCTCAAGCAATAGCTCTCCATCTCCTCCTAACGATTCGTTACCAACAATGTTGTAACTGTCCACAAATATCTCATTTTTGGACTGTACCATGGGAATATCATTCGTGTCTCCCATCATTTCGTGCGTTGCAATCAAAATATAAGGTGATAAGTAACAATATTAAAGGCTTTCATACATTGAAAATATAAGGACCAGATACAATACCTTAATTTCCTGGCAAAGATTGAAATTCCTCATTCTCAATTTTGAAATCTTTGTTCTGATGCGAGTACCCAATGTTATGATTTTGCATGAAGCCTACATAATAAGCAAAAGAATTCTGATTTTATAGAAAAACTGCATATAATTTGTACTTGTTTATAGTGGGAGTACTTCCAACATCAGTCACATAGTTTAGCATTGCCAAATAAAACCATAATAATTGTTTGGGGAGAGTGGCACACGTGAGCAAAATAAGAGTTGCCTTGCATATCTACCATCTGTGAAGCTGAAATTTCCAAGTGTTACTTGAATAACACTAATGTATATATAACTATTAGATGTAGTCGTGGTGTGAAAATTTTCATTTTCATTAGAGGAAATTATTTTGATAGCACCGTAGGTTTCACTTTCAGCAAGAATATACATCTTCATATTTATCAATTGATTTTACCAGTAGCAAATATTGATTATAATTTGATCCTAATGCATGCTGCCACAAAATATGTTATTCCATTAAGGTTAACATAATTCAAATCAATTAGCAGTTAATGTGAGAAGAAGGTCCAGCAATTACCAGTAGAGCAAGACACCATAATTTAACAAAACCTCAAGGATGGCAATGTCCGCATTAATCAACATACAATTTATACATTTCTAGGCAACACTAATTGGAAGGTTACACACAACAAATGCACACTATTACTGAAGTCTACTACATCGTTTCTCACCGTATATGATTCGCGGTCGGAAGACACTCTGGAATGGGATACTCCGGTTGGGCGTTGGGTCAGCTGACGCTGCAAGTGTTTCGGCCGAACAATGTGAGGTTGTTTTGGAAAGGGAAACAATCTGCTGCAATGGGCGTCGGGTCGGCTTGCGGCTGCAAGTGTTTCGACCGAAAATGTGAGCTTATTTTTGGGGAAATACAAATGGGCGTTGGGAAATCTCGAGCTGCAAATGTTATGGCCGAAAATGTGACCTTCTATTTGGGAAAATACAAAGGAACATGGAGCATGAAATTTTTTCTTGCAGATGTATACAGTTGGCTCGCAAGCATCATTCCATTTCTTTAGGGCTTCTATTTGGGGAAACAACAATCAGTGTGGTGTTGGTGAAAAATTTAGCGCCACCGGATTTCTCCCCTTTTTCTACCTTTTTTTTTTCCACGCCAGCTGTTTTCAAAATTCTGTAGGACTTCTGTAATAACATATCTGGACACCCAGCATTATTGCATTCAAATAAAATGAATTAAAATCCCGTTTTGGTACCCATTTTTTTCAAAATGTATTTTTCTCTCTTTTGTTTTCAACCACACATTCTTTATTAAAATAATATTACATGTAAATTAAAAAAATTCCATATTTTTCAACCATAAATTTTCATCAATTTACTATTTAAAAATACATTTTTACATAAAAATGTCTCTCAAACACCTTAAATGTTAAAAGGGTGCATGGGCAATTTTGTAAAATTTGGTCAATACTTGCGGCTCAAATTTTGCATGCCCTATTGGTTATTTTTTTTATTTTAATTTTCAAAAATAGAAAAAATTAAAAATTGTCTTTTCCTAGCTTATAATCAATGTAATCAGTCAATGCTAATCATAACATTTCACCATTAAATGACTTACTATAATCAAACTTTTGCAACATAAAACTTAACAAAAAATTGGAAATTGTCAAAATTAATTTTTGATTCTAGTGTTTTTTGACTAAGCAATTCTTTTACTCATTGGATGTTAATCACGCCTATTATTATAAGTTTTTGTATAATTAAATACGAAAATAAAATTGATTTAATATCTCATAAAATAAATACGTTACAATAAGCAGTATCATTTTCTACATTAATTATCGCCACGCTGACCACCGAATTAGTTTGTTGAGTTAATAGGAAGCTTTCAATGCCTACCTACCAAAGGCACATTGATGGTGAAGATTCACACCAATGGCTTCTTCTCTTGTTCTGTTCGTTACTGAATTTATTAATATAATTTCCCATTTATTACATTTACCAGTGTGTGTCTGTGTGATACGGAAATACACTCAGTTCAACGACGTGGATGGATCTACTGGCTGATACACACTGTAATGAGCATAAAAAATTGCAGCTATTAAATTTGTACCACCTGCTTCTCTTTCCAGCCCAGCCAGGCAATTTTTCATTCTACACCTAATTCTTGACCTCGTCATCTCAACTAGCCCATAAACACTAATTGTGCAGAAGTCACACTTCATTGTTAAGCAAAGAAAGATCCCAAGAAAATAGAATAAATTCAGTGTCTTTTTACTCATGCCCATAATAATGTGCTTTAATCCCTTCCTATTTTCTCCATGATTCAGCATTAAAAATTTACTCTAACATATATACATTGTAATTAAATGAAATGACTGCTCTTGAATCTCCATGTTTTCATGTTTCCATCGGCCCTTCCCTGCATCAGTGTACATTTAGAAGGAGAGATCAAGGGGTTGCAGACTGGATCCAGTGAGTATAATGCCGGGGTTTTGTCGGAAGGAACATGAAAAGATTAGGTACAAGTTTTCGTCATCTTGTGTTCTTCTATGCCTTTTGTTTTCTTGAATTTGTGATAATATTAGTCTCACCAATCACTGAAAAGGAAATCTTGCTTCAATTCAAGGGTAACATTTCAAGTGACCCGTTTTTGAGTTTGAGTTCTTGGGATCAAAACAATAGCCCCTGCAGAGATTATAGAGGTGTGTTTTGTAATTCAGGTGGAAATGTGGTAAAAATTGTGCTATGGAATACTAGTCTTGGTGGGGTTTTGTCTCCTGCTTTATCTGGATTACAATCTTTGAGAATTATTAATTTGTTTGGGAATAAATTTCAAGGAAATATTCCTTTGGAGTATGGAGAGATTGGTACATTGTGGAAGATTAATTTAAGCTCCAACGCTTTATCTGGGGTAATCCCAGATTTTCTTGGAGATTTGCCAAATATAAGGTTTCTTGATTTATCAAGAAATGGGTATACTGGGGAGATTCCTTCAGCTTTGTTCAAGAATTGTTACAAGACAAGATTTGTTTCTTTAGCACATAACAATCTTTCGGGTGCCATCCCTGTGTCGATTGGTAATTGTAGGAATCTTGAGGGAATAGATTTGTCTTTTAATAGTCTTAATGGAGGATTACCTGCAGAAATCTGTGGCATTCCAGGGCTAGTGTACTTATCAGTGAGAAGTAATGTGCTATCAGGAAATGTTCAAGATAATGTTTCCGAGTGTGGAAGCTTGGAGTTTTTGGATCTTGGTGGCAATATGTTTACCGGAGGCACTCCATTTGGGATTCTTGGATTTGTAAATCTTACCTATTTTAATGTTTCGTGGAATGGGTTTCAGGGTGAAATTCAGGAGATTGAAACTTGTAGTGGGAGACTGGAATTTTTTGATGTTTCAGGGAATGATTTGTCTGGTAAAATTCCTTCAAGCATCACAAAATGCAGTGGCCTAAAGTATTTAGATTTGGGATTTAACCGGCTTCATGGGAGTATACCAGTCGGAATTGCTGATATGACGAGGCTATTGGTCATTCGCTTAGCAAATAACTCAATAGACGGGATAATCCCAGCACAGTTTGGGAGTATTAAATGGCTAGAAGTTCTCGATTTGCGTAATCTCAAACTCACGGGTGAAATCCCAGACGAGATAAGCAATTGCCGGTTTCTTCTTGAGATGTGAGTTGAATAACCATTACCAGCCTTTATGTGCTTGCATCAACATTTATTAGGATTCAACTGACAAAACTTTGTAAATTTTGCATGCAGGCATGTTTCTGGAAATTCTTTGGAGGGAGGCGTTCCACAAAATCTTGACAACATGACGTACCTCATAACTCTTGACCTACATCATAACAGGCTTAATGGAAGCATACCATTGACTATCGGAAATTTGTCTAACGTACATTCTTTGGATTTATCAGAAAATTTTCTATCAGATTCAATTCCTTCTACGCTCAAGAATTTGAAAAACCTCACTCATTTCAACGTGTCTTACAACAATCTTTCTGGTACTATCCCTTCAATTCCAGGCATTCAACAGTTTGGCTTCTCAGCTTTTTTTCACAACCAAGGTCTCTGTGGTCCACCATTAGATGACCCATGCTCTGCTACTTCTGGTGCACATAAACCCAAGTTGAGTGCTTCTGTAATCATCGCAATAGTAGCTGCTGCATTCATTGTTACAGGTGTATTTGTGATTACCATTATTAACATAAAGGCTCGTGGGAGGGGACGAAAAGAAGAGACTCTGGTTGTAGATTCTACTCCATTAGCTTCAACAGATTCAAATGTTATTATTGGGAAATTAGTCCTCTTCAGCAAAAATATGCCTTCAAGGTATGAGGATTGGGAGGCTGGCACTAAAGCCTTGCTTGATAAAGAATGTTTAATTGGTGGGGGCTCTATTGGAAGAGTGTACAAAACTACCTTCGAAGGAGGAATTTCGATGGCAGTGAAGAAGCTCAAGACCTTAGGGATGATCCAAATCCAAGAAGAATTTGAGCATAAAATTGGTCGTTTGGGATACCTTCAGCATCCGAATCTTGTCGCTTTTCAAGGTTACTATTGGTCATGTAGCATGCAGTTAATTTTGTCTGAATTTGTTTCAAATGGAAATCTGCACGATAATTTACATGGAGTGAATTATCATGGGATGAGCTTTCGTTTTAGTAATCCGGAGTTGAATTGGCCGAGAAGGTTTCAAATAGCATTAGGGACAGCAAGAGCCTTAGCCTACCTTCACCATGACTGCAGACCTCCAGTTCTTCATCTCAATGTCAAGCCCAGTAATATACTGCTGGATGAAAACTACAATGCCAAACTGTCTGATTATGGCTTGGGAAAGTTTCTTCCTCTGCAGAATAATTATGGTTCAAGAAATATTCACAATGCAGTTGGGTACATTGCACCTGAGTTATCTCAAAGTTCAAAACTCGTTGATAAATGTGATGTTTATAGCTTTGGGGTGATTCTTTTGGAGTTGGTTACGGGGAGAAAACCAGTGGAGAGTCCAGCAATGAGTGAGAGGGTGATTTTGCGTGAATATGTCCGGGATTTGATGGAAATGGGTTCTGCTTCGAACTGTTTTGACCTTAGTTTGCGAGGATTTGCAGAAAATGAGCTGATTCAGGTTCTGAAGTTGGGTTTGATTTGTACTTGTGAAACTCCTTCGCGGAGGCCAAGCATGGCTGAGGTTGTTCAGGTTCTCGAGTCCATAAGAAATGGTGTGGAATCATAACTAGCATAGGAGAAATTTGTTTATTTGGTAAAGAAATACACAATTCTTTTGCAATTCATTCTGAGTTGCCATTATCAGCTGTAGTCCTGCAATAAAATCGTTCTAGTTTTTGGAACTCGAATAAGAAAAAAATAAGGTGAAAATTGTATTCATACTATCCACTAGAGTCCAATATTAAGTGCTGACATTCTCGCATTGCAAATCTTTGGCTTGTCCCGTCATGAAACGTGCACTTGTGGTGCGTTTAATAAAGAAAGTTGAGTAGTACCAGTCAAGATTAAAGAACGAACAAAAATGCTAAAATCTTATTCCTACATCATGTGTGGTAGTGCTTACCAAACATGCACTAAAAGGAAATAATGGAATAATATGTAGCATTAAAATGACCCAAAAAAAATAAATAAATCCCGTTACAAATGTAAGGATCCAGTCTTTCTAGTTAGAAAGACTTTCCAGTCTTTCCGCTTGCTTTTGCATCAGCCATAAATGATCAATCGACATTCATAAAAACACGACAGGTACGATCCACAGGTCGTATGGTGACATGACTACCGCCAACGTATCAGAGGACGAACAATTTTGCTGCCACGTTAACTGCCAGAACCAGCGAAGGACATTTATTCGAATGGACCAAGAAATACCAGTCCAGATTATGTTGCTGGTTCTTCCGAGCCAGCAATTCCAAGAAATTGAGAAAAGCTCTGCCTACCAAAGTATCGGTAAATTTCCATCCTTTAGAATCAAGAACCACGGAACAATAAAAATTAACTATCAGAAATTTTCCGAATACGTTCAATAACTACAGGAAGGTCCTTTTCCCTCAATGTGCTAAAGCATAACCTGAACCACCCAGGTTCAACACAATGACAGGATGATCCAGGAGTCGCATTCACCTTGCCCACGTTCAACAATTTTTCCCACAACTCAAGCTCTCCTTTTTCACTGTATGAACGGATTAAACTGTTGGATGAATTTTGTGAATAGTGACGCTGAAATAAGTATAATGATGGTGACAAAGCCGAGGCAAGAGTTGGACTCTTTGTCCTTAAGTCGAATTTGCCCCGCAACGGTGCCTACGGATTTCGGCAATCGACTCCCAAGATACAACGGCTACACTTGTGTTTGTAGCACTCCAAAACACAAGTACAACGAACCAATTTAGGCTTATGTACTCCAAGGATGAAATGAAAGAAAATCAAAATAAGCGAAATGATTTTGATTTTGGATAGAAGAGAGGATGAAATCGTTTTGCATATCAAACTGTGAGGAATAGGACACCCAAAGGGTCCTATTTATAGACCATGAAGGGGTGTGGACGAAATGGTTGAGACCAAACCATGCACCATTTCCAAACAATGCATATTTATGAAAAGGTGTCTATTCACTAATGGTTGAGGTCTTTTTCGTAATTTCTCATTCATCCGATATTGGTTTTCGAAATGCCAAATATACCCTTCAATACATGCAGAGAAATCAAAATTCTCTTTCGGGGGCGTTGCCCCCGACCCCCCACGAGGGGCGCTGCCCCCTCGAAATTTAGCGCCACCGGATTTCTCCCCTTTTTCTACCTTTTTTTTTTCCACGCCAGCTGTTTTCAAAATTCTGTAGGACTTCTGTAATAACATATCTGGACACCCAGCATTATTGCATTCAAATAAAATGAATTAAAATCCCGTTTTGGTACCCATTTTTTTCAAAATGTATTTTTCTCTCTTTTGTTTTCAACCACACATTCTTTATTAAAATAATATTACATGTAAATTAAAAAAATTCCATATTTTTCAACCATAAATTTTCATCAATTTACTATTCAAAAATACATTTTTATATAAAAATGTCTCCCAAACACCCTAAATGTTAAAAGGGTGCATGGGCAATTTTGTAAAATTTGGTCAATACTTGCGGCTCAAATTTTGCATGCCCTATTGGTTATTTTTTTTATTTTAATTTTCAAAAATAGAAAAAATTAAAAATTGTCTTTTCCTAGCTTATAATCAATGTAATCAGTCGATGCTAATCATAACATTTCACCATTAAATGACTTACTATAATCAAACTTTTGCAACATAAAACTTAACAAAAAATTGGAAATTGTCAAAATTAATTTTTGATTCTAGTGTTTTTTGACTAAGCAATTCTTTTACTCATTGGATGTTAATCACGCCTATTATTATAAGTTTTTGTATAATTAAATACGAAAATAAAATTGATTTAATATCTCATAAAATAAATACGTTACAATAAGCAGTATCATTTTCTACATTAATTATCGCCACGCTGACCACCGAATTAGTTTGTTGAGTTAATAGGAAGCTTTCAATGCCTACCTACCAAAGGCACATTGATGGTGAAGATTCACACCAATGGCTTCTTCTCTTGTTCTGTTCGTTACTGAATTTATTAATATAATTTCCCATTTATTACATTTACCAGTGTGTGTCTGTGTGATACGGAAATACACTCAGTTCAACGACGTGGATGGATCTACTGGCTGATACACACTGTAATGAGCATAAAAAATTGCAGCTATTAAATTTGTACCACCTGCTTCTCTTTCCAGCCCAGCCAGGCAATTTTTCATTCTACACCTAATTCTTGACCTCGTCATCTCAACTAGCCCATAAACACTAATTGTGCAGAAGTCACACTTCATTGTTAAGCAAAGAAAGATCCCAAGAAAATAGAATAAATTCAGTGTCTTTTTACTCATGCCCATAATAATGTGCTTTAATCCCTTCCTATTTTCTCCATGATTCAGCATTAAAAATTTACTCTAACATATATACATTGTAATTAAATGAAATGACTGCTCTTGAATCTCCATGTTTTCATGTTTCCATCGGCCCTTCCCTGCATCAGTGTACATTTAGAAGGAGAGATCAAGGGGTTGCAGACTGGATCCAGTGAGTATAATGCCGGGGTTTTGTCGGAAGGAACATGAAAAGATTAGGTACAAGTTTTCGTCATCTTGTGTTCTTCTATGCCTTTTGTTTTCTTGAATTTGTGATAATATTAGTCTCACCAATCACTGAAAAGGAAATCTTGCTTCAATTCAAGGGTAACATTTCAAGTGACCCGTTTTTGAGTTTGAGTTCTTGGGATCAAAACAATAGCCCCTGCAGAGATTATAGAGGTGTGTTTTGTAATTCAGGTGGAAATGTGGTAAAAATTGTGCTATGGAATACTAGTCTTGGTGGGGTTTTGTCTCCTGCTTTATCTGGATTACAATCTTTGAGAATTATTAATTTGTTTGGGAATAAATTTCAAGGAAATATTCCTTTGGAGTATGGAGAGATTGGTACATTGTGGAAGATTAATTTAAGCTCCAACGCTTTATCTGGGGTAATCCCAGATTTTCTTGGAGATTTGCCAAATATAAGGTTTCTTGATTTATCAAGAAATGGGTATACTGGGGAGATTCCTTCAGCTTTGTTCAAGAATTGTTACAAGACAAGATTTGTTTCTTTAGCACATAACAATCTTTCGGGTGCCATCCCTGTGTCGATTGGTAATTGTAGGAATCTTGAGGGAATAGATTTGTCTTTTAATAGTCTTAATGGAGGATTACCTGCAGAAATCTGTGGCATTCCAGGGCTAGTGTACTTATCAGTGAGAAGTAATGTGCTATCAGGAAATGTTCAAGATAATGTTTCCGAGTGTGGAAGCTTGGAGTTTTTGGATCTTGGTGGCAATATGTTTACCGGAGGCACTCCATTTGGGATTCTTGGATTTGTAAATCTTACCTATTTTAATGTTTCGTGGAATGGGTTTCAGGGTGAAATTCAGGAGATTGAAACTTGTAGTGGGAGACTGGAATTTTTTGATGTTTCAGGGAATGATTTGTCTGGTAAAATTCCTTCAAGCATCACAAAATGCAGTGGCCTAAAGTATTTAGATTTGGGATTTAACCGGCTTCATGGGAGTATACCAGTCGGAATTGCTGATATGACGAGGCTATTGGTCATTCGCTTAGCAAATAACTCAATAGACGGGATAATCCCAGCACAGTTTGGGAGTATTAAATGGCTAGAAGTTCTCGATTTGCGTAATCTCAAACTCACGGGTGAAATCCCAGACGAGATAAGCAATTGCCGGTTTCTTCTTGAGATGTGAGTTGAATAACCATTACCAGCCTTTATGTGCTTGCATCAACATTTATTAGGATTCAACTGACAAAACTTTGTAAATTTTGCATGCAGGCATGTTTCTGGAAATTCTTTGGAGGGAGGCGTTCCACAAAATCTTGACAACATGACGTACCTCATAACTCTTGACCTACATCATAACAGGCTTAATGGAAGCATACCATTGACTATCGGAAATTTGTCTAACGTACATTCTTTGGATTTATCAGAAAATTTTCTATCAGATTCAATTCCTTCTACGCTCAAGAATTTGAAAAACCTCACTCATTTCAACGTGTCTTACAACAATCTTTCTGGTACTATCCCTTCAATTCCAGGCATTCAACAGTTTGGCTTCTCAGCTTTTTTTCACAACCAAGGTCTCTGTGGTCCACCATTAGATGACCCATGCTCTGCTACTTCTGGTGCACATAAACCCAAGTTGAGTGCTTCTGCAATCATCGCAATAGTAGCTGCTGCATTAATTGTTACAGGTGTTTTTGTGATTACCATTATTAACATAAAGGCTCGTGGGAGGGGACGAAAAGAAGGGACTCTGGTTGTAGATTCTACTCCATTAGCTTCAACAGATTCAAATGTTATTATTGGGAAATTAGTCCTCTTCAGCAAAAATATGCCTTCAAGGTATGAGGATTGGGAGGCTGGCACTAAAGCCTTGCTTGATAAAGAATGTTTAATTGGTGGGGGCTCTATTGGAAGAGTGTACAAAACTACCTTCGAAGGAGGAATTTCGATGGCAGTGAAGAAGCTCAAGACCTTAGGGATGATCCAAATCCAAGAAGAATTTGAGCATAAAATTGGTCGTTTGGGATACCTTCAGCATCCGAATCTTGTCGCTTTTCAAGGTTACTATTGGTCATGTAGCATGCAGTTAATTTTGTCTGAATTTGTTTCAAATGGAAATCTGCACGATAATTTACATGGAGTGAATTATCATGGGATGAGCTTTCGTTTTAGTAATCCGGAGTTGAATTGGCCGAGAAGGTTTCAAATAGCATCAAGGACAGCGAGAGCCTTAGCCTACCTTCACCATGACTGCAGACCTCCAGTTCTTCATCTCAATGTCAAGCCCAGTAATATACTGCTGGATGAAAACTACAATGCCAAACTGTCTGATTATGGCTTGGGAAAGTTTCTTCCTCTGCAGAATAATTATGGTTCAAGAAATATTCACAATGCAGTTGGGTACATTGCACCCGAGTTATCTCAAAGTTCAAAACTCGTTGATAAATGTGATGTTTATAGCTTTGGGGCGATTCTTTTGGAGTTGGTTACGGGGAGAAAACCAGTGGAGAGTCCAGCAATGAGTGAGAGGGTGATTTTGCGTGAATATGTCCGGGATTTGATGGAAATGGGTTCTGCTTCGAACTGTTTTGACCTTAGTTTGCGAGGATTTGCAGAAAATGAGCTGATTCAGGTTCTGAAGTTGGGTTTGATTTGTACTTGTGAAACTCCTTCGCGGAGGCCAAGCATGGCTGAGGTTGTTCAGGTTCTCGAGTCCATAAGAAATGGTGTGGAATCATAACTAGCATAGGAGAAATTTGTTTATTTGGTAAAGAAATACACAATTCTTTTGCAATTCATTCTGAGTTGCCATTATCAGCTGTAGTCCTGCAATAAAATCGTTCTAGTTTTTGGAACTCGAATAAGAAAAAAATAAGGTGAAAATTGTATTCATACTATCCACTAGAGTCCAATATTAAGTGCTGACATTCTCGCATTGCAAATCTTTGGCTTGTCCCGTCATGAAACGTGCACTTGTGGTGCGTTTAATAAAGAAAGTTGAGTAGTACCAGTCAAGATTAAAGAACGAACAAAAATGCTAAAATCTTATTCCTACATCATGTGTGGTAGTGCTTACCAAACATGCACTAAAAGGAAATAATGGAATAATATGTAGCATTAAAATGACCCAAAAAAAATAAATAAATCCCGTTACAAATGTAAGGATCCAGTCTTTCTAGTTAGAAAGACTTTCCAGTCTTTCCGCTTGCTTTTGCATCAGCCATAAATGATCAATCGACATTCATAAAAACACGACAGGTACGATCCACAGGTCGTATGGTGACATGACTACCGCCAACGTATCAGAGGACGAACAATTTTGCTGCCACGTTAACTGCCAGAACCAGCGAAGGACATTTATTCGAATGGACCAAGAAATACCAGTCCAGATTATGTTGCTGGTTCTTCCGAGCCAGCAATTCCAAGAAATTGAGAAAAGCTCTGCCTACCAAAGTATCGGTAAATTTCCATCCTTTAGAATCAAGAACCACGGAACAATAAAAATTAACTATCAGAAATTTTCCGAATACGTTCAATAACTACAGGAAGGTCCTTTTCCCTCAATGTGCTAAAGCATAACCTGAACCACCCAGGTTCAACACAATGACAGGATGATCCAGGAGTCGCATTCACCTTGCCCACGTTCAACAATTTTTCCCACAACTCAAGCTCTCCTTTTTCACTGTATGAACGGATTAAACTACTCATATCAGCCCAGCAATAGAATCCTCCGTTACTCTTTGTGCATTCGATACCCAACATCTTTAAACCGCCCACAAACAAAATATACATCCTTCGAACCCTCTCCCTATTGATCTTGATAAACCGTTGAATGAATTTTGTATGTGAAAGCATAGAGATAAGCAAACGCTGTGTTGGGGCCGAAACAGGTGAGAATCTTGCAAGTTTTTTAGCTGCAGAACGAACATTCTCGTTGAATGTATAAATAACAGCGATTCCAAACCCGGGAAGAGAAATGTCCTTCGACAGACCGTAAATAATATGAACTCGACCTCTGTCATAATCTTCTGTGTCGACAATTTCCGCCATGCTTACAAACTCTTCACATCCATGAGTTGATCCGGCGAATACTTCATTAGATATAATATGAATGTTCTTCTCAGTAGCAAAGTCTAAGAGGCTGCAAAGCATTTCACGGTTATACAGAACTCCCACAGGATTTGAAGGGTTTGAAATTATTATCCCACGGACTTTAAGACCACGTTTCTTGGCCTGGTTAAATGCTCGATCAAGAGCAGTTGTACTTAAACTGAAGTTGTCTGAACTGCGGCAAGGAACAGGTACAATCTCCACCCCAGCTCGCCATTTGACGTCCCTATCAAGACTGCACTTTGAATTTTCTCTTAGTGTTGATATAAAAGAAAAAATGATGAAAACCGATCATTCAGTAATAAAAAAGCAATGGAACTTACTCAGGATAGTATGGTGACGGTACAAGAAATGCATTTCCTGGATCAGCCAGGCAGAAACTGAGTATCTCAATTGCAGGAGAAGTCCCAGCAGTTAGCACTATCCGTGCCGGGTTGAAAAACTGTGGTTTCTCTATGACTTGAGACATGAACTCTGCCACAACCTGTTCCTTGGACAAAAATGGCATAGCAATTCGAAGTGATTTAGAAGACTTCCAAATGCTTAAATTCCTGTTAAAGGACTTGAAAGCTAAGCAGATCAAATTCACAAAATTAACCGTATATTACGAAATCATAACAAAATGCACGCTCACAAGAAAATCGATCAGACCTTCCTGTTTAATAGTACATGCATTAGTTTTTCCAAGAAGTAGGAAATGGTAGAACAACCATACACATAACATGAGCACTGAAGAGCAACACGATGATGCAAGAATTTACAACCCCCACCCCACCCCGGGACATTGATACAATCATACAATAACAAAGAAATAATGAGATGTTACTGCTAGGTGCAATCGCCTTGAGTATACACTTCATCTATGTATTCCAACCAAAACTGCCTGCTGAGCATGTCTGGCCAAGCTAAAAAGTAAGTCAAAGTTACCATGTACATTTTGATTATGAGGGGATTTCTTTGTAGATCTCATGAGTCACTTCTACACTTTCAAAAACGATAAGGTTGTAAGTTGAATGCTTTGGAAAGTAGAAGGGCTTGATGTGCAAACTGGATGAACCATAGAAAGTACAATCAACCGAGAGCTTCAAATGATAGGGTTGTAGGTTGAATGCTCTGAAAGTATAAGGGATCGATGTGAAATCTGCATGAACCATAGGAAGTACTATCTACCGAGAACTTTACGTGGGAAAACAGGCGATGGACATGAATTGATGCCAAAAGAGTCACACGCCATTATCAACAAGATCCTTCCATTTTCTATTAGTAGAATAACACCACTTATGTTTTTAATCAATAGCTATGTTGCATCCAGTAATAGTAAAATTTATACTTATAGTTTGATATTAAATCAATTTTAGAAACCAAAGAATTATCAGCAAATAGTCTTAAAATGCTTTGAAAATGCACAACTTAAATTTTTCCCATAAGCAAAAAGCATAAGAATACCCATTCAAGTAGCTTCTTTCCAAATACTGGTACCAGATTACAGAGTTACTCATATTCACATGAATCAAGTTTATTATTTTAAACCTGAAGGAGATTGATGAGCAGTCTCAATGAAGCAAGTGACTATTGTTAAATTCATACTATCAGCCAAATCCATGGCCGGGATTTGAATTAACATAATTTGTTTCTATGCTTAAAATGAGACGTAACATTAATTAGTATAGCTTACATTAGACCTAGAATTTGATACAAGTCCTGTAAAGAACACATTCTTCACACAGTTAACTAATTCAAGAGATGCAAAAGCTAAAATACATTAAATGGATACAACTGAGATAGATGAACTGCTAATGCAAGTAGAAAGACAAACCACTTTCAACTCCATCAACCCATCAAACGACTGATAAGCTGCAATCCCACTTATGCTCAAATCCTGGGATATTATTGATTCCCTTGTATTGTCTGCTAGCCACTCTAGAACCACGTCCAATGACAGCTACATTCATGTGAAAAAAGAAGTTCCAAACACCATCCATTAACAAACTCTCAAAGTCGTTAAAAGAACAATTAACCACATAAATTCTCTCCTATATAATTTCAAAAATTAAAATAAACAATTAAACGGACAAATTCTTTTGACGCAAGTTCAAAGGCTGAATATTTAATAAATGCAAGAAGTAAGAACAACTGCAGATTAATTATAACATGTGCACATCACATTCATGTATTACTTGACTTTCAGCTTCAAAAATCATTCAAGAACATAAAATAAACACGAGAACTGTTACCGCTCAAATGTAAAGATCACAGTCATGTATCGCTTGACTTTCAGCTTCAAAAATCATTCAAACACATAAAATAAACATGAGAACCGTTACCACTCAAATGTAAAGATAGCGACAAGGACATCAGTTATCCAAATATGAAAGTTAACACTCTTCATTCACTTTTGTTCGTTGATCACTTCCCCTCCATTTTCTTGAAACTGATCTGCGCCTTAGAGATTTCACTGTGATTATACTATAACTCATCATCGGGGACCAATTCACAGATATGCTACTGATTAAGAGTTCTAGATTCAAATTCTATATACCTCCATACAAAACAAACATAAATAATTTAAATGCTTCTATTTATGCACAAGAATATATGCACAAACTTTTCATTCAGCTTATGTTGAATATCAAATGAAACATCTAATCACACAGCTTTACTTCATGAATGCATTAAACATAAAGAAAAAACACGAGTACCAATTTTCTTTAACAATACCCACTCTGTTTTCAGCCAACCCAAGTTGAATTACACCATCCGGATTATTCATTTCATCGTACGGGTCGTCTGCAGCCCGATTAAGGCCGACATAGTAAGGCCCATCGGCCTGCTTGGCAATTGCATTAGCTCTAGACGACACCTGGGCCGGCACACTTGTCCCTCGGGGAGAAAACAGCAACCTTGAATGAACCCTCTGCAGAGTCGACACTTCCGGTAAATGGGTTTCCGATGGAGAACTCTCCGTCGATGACGGAGGTTCGCCGGACTTGCGCCCACCCCTTCTCTTGAGGTAGAGCTGAAGAAAGTAAAACAGAGCACAGGGTATAACTGAACCCAAGAAAAGGCCTCCACGGCCTTGCACTACACCTTGTAAGGGCACTATCACCCTCATCGCCGTCGTGGCTCCGCCGCCGCCAGTGGTGGTGGAATTTCGGGTCTTTTCATAGTGGGGTCATCCCGAAAGCCGAAATGTGAGGGCGGAATGAACGAAGACAACTATTATTTAAATTCTTTTGGCTTTCTTATGTCAATTTTGTAGGAATGAGCGAGCAAGCGACCGTTTGAGAAGAGTGTGGCTGATTTTTCTAGAGAAAACAACTGCATGTACAGTGGGCGTATATGTGAAGGAAAGAGAGATTTGGCGATAAAATTTGTTTGATGAATACTTGCGCGGTAGTCCTCTCTGGTTTTGTAAGGCGGATCTAGTCGGGATCATTTCCTTTTCATGAGCCATAACTCTGAATTTACTTAAACGTCCTTTACTCCAACTAGTTAATCGTCCCAATAATCAGTGGAGTTTCCATTAAATTTATTCAAACATCGAATGTTATTTACTTACATATTATCCGTTTCAAACCACTATTGAAATTAGTGACGTGGTTAATGAAATGTATAGGTGGCGTTTCATCACATCGTCACTAAATTGCCACATAAAAAATGTCTTTCATTATTCACTAAACTTTGAAAAACATCTTTAATTGTTCGCTATACTTCGAAAAAGTCTTTGATTGCTCATGAAATTTTAAGATCTTTGAATTTCTATCATTGAACTTATAAAAATAATGTTGCTGTGTTGTTGGCTAAAAAACGTGTACGTATATCACGTACAAGCAATAAAGTGGACAAACGAGTCCAAATTATTAATCTCAAGAGAAATAATTACTCAATTAGACAATAATTTAATTTAATTTTAACAACGAAACACACAATAAATTTGAATTTTTCAAATGATAAAAATAGCTTAAAATTTTATAAAAAATAAAGAAAAGATCAAATAATAAAATTGAGGAAAGATCATATTTCTGTGATATTTTCATTATTTTCCCACAAGAATTTTCTAATAAATTTGTAACGTGACATTTTTTGTATAACGAATGAACCAAAAAGTTATTTACCCTCAAAATAATACTCTAGTATGTATGAGATTCCCAAAGAGATCAACAAGAACTATTTTTTAATAATCATCATAATACTACAATCATCAAAAGATTGATAAATATCTCGTAAGAAGACGATGTTATTTGAAATTTATACAAGATAACATGAGACATACTTCACAAAAATTGTATTATTGAAGATATTGACATACATGATAAGGATGAATTGACACAAGAATTGAAATCAATGGAGTAGCTGTACTCTTTTTTCTTCGATCAAGTTTTATTTCACTAAGTTTTCTTAATAAGATTTTAACAAGGCAAATATTTTGTAACGTATCATTCAATAGAAAGTATTTTAAATAATATGATTATAAGTGAATGATTATTATACCTCTACAACCCTAGTTTTTATTACCATTATATCACTACTAAAAAACAGCTTTTTTGTCTACCGAAAATTACCAACGGATGCAATCCGTTGGTAATTAGAAATGGATTATCTGTTGGTAAAAGTTATTCACTTTCAGTTACGATAATTTGCAACGGATTTTCAGTTGGTAACGGTAATATCTCTTTACCAACGGATATTCCGTGTCTCATGTAACCGTTTAACATTTGGATCTCTCGCCTACGAAATATTCGTAGGTGACGTACCGAATATTACCAACTGATTGCCTCCGTTGGTAATTAGAATCGGATTATCCGTTGGTAAAAGTAATTCACTTTCAACTACGATAATCAGCAACGGATTTTTCATTAGTAACGATGATATCTTTTTACAAATAGATATTCCTTGTCTTATGTAATCGTTTAACATTTGGATCTTTTACCTACCGATATTCCGTTCTTAATTAGAAACGGATCTATTGGTAAAAGTAATTTACTTATCCCACATTGAAAGTTCACAACAAAGTCTTCGAAATTGTCCTCTATAAATTAATTTGTGGTCCAATAAGTAGTTAAAGAATATTTTGGACTTTCAATTCTGTTGGCTAAAAGTTAAAAAAATTAGAATTATTAAATAAATAATAATAACAATAATGAAAAAATAAATAATTTTTTTTACCATGCTTCACACCTATACGACTATTTACAATATTGATTTTTACCAATTGTAATGGTAGACATTGACCAACGAAAAGTCGATTGATATTGATTAAGATTTTTGCCAACGAAAATTTCATTGGTAAAAGATTCACACTTTACCAACGAAAAATTCATTGGTAAAATGTTTACTCTTTAACTACGGCAAGATTCGTTAATAACTATCAGCGACCCTCAAATTAGCAACGAATTTGCGATTGCAATTATTTCGTTGGTAAAGAGCAATAGTAATGGATATCGAGGTTTCAAGAACGAAAAATCCGTGCTTGAAGCAATTTTTTTTAGTAGTGTATCCTTAATTTTTTCCCATGAATATGGGACTTCAATCCTCAATATAATACACATAAGTTTATTGACTTTTCTACTTTTTTCTCTTTTTCTCTCTGTTTTGTAACAATATTACAAATAAATAAGTAAATGACAAATCTTACTACCTAAATTCATAACTATAAAGTAGGCGAAAAAATAGAATGTAAAATGGCAAAGTAGGTATTAATTAATGGAGAAGTCTAATAATAGAGTTTAAATATAGTTGACATTCCTTAATTACGGTTGAATAATTTGATGCATAATTTATATTCCACTAATAAAAACATATATGCATGTAAATACGAATAGAGCAATGACGTATGAAAACAATGATACGAGATAATAATGAGCAAATCATGATTTACTTAAACATAGAAAATGCAAAAATACGAAGGAGATAAAGTGAAGCGATTTATGGGAATGCAGATTTCCTCAAGATGGATTTTGCCCTCTGCACAAGTGCTAACATGATCAAATGAGTGTCTGCCTCCCAAGATATAATGCTTCTTCCAAAATTAAAGCTTGACCATGCTCTTCTCGAACGGAAAATATTGAATACTATATATCAAGAAACTCAAAAATGATAAGGGAATTATTTTGACGAAACTTGGAGAAAGAAAGAACTAGAAATCAATTATATGGAATTATTTGGGATGTAGAAAATAAATTTTGGAGGGTCATATTTATAGATTTGTATGTGTCTCTTCGAAGGATCACATTTTATGGCCAAATTAATTTTAAAAAATTATATCACACCATTTTGAAAATTGATGATCTAGATCGCACCTGATCAGAAAGGTTAGACCCAATCGAAAAACAACTCTTTGATATGCACTATTTGCATTTGAAGGGTTGTGCTCAATCGACGCACCTATTGGAGACTTTTCCAATTCACACATTTTAATCCTTATACTACCCTAAAATTCCAACAATTCCCACATGAATGGAAAAAAGCCAACTCAAACATAAACCTCGGATGCTATGTTTCAATTTTGATTCTAGTATTGAGCGAAAGGTTACACCCAAATTCCATAGCTTTTGATCTGTTATCCCGATCAGACCGAATTTGTAACCCGCATTAGCAAATTAATTAGAGAATACCTAGGGGCGCGAGACAACTCTCTCTAAGAAGATGAAAAAGATTACAACTGAAATTTAATGCATCGAAATCGATAGCTTTTGCTTCGAACCTTCTCTAGTAAAAATTTGTCGGACTCACTTGACTAATCAGTGAACACAAGTTTTGAACTATTGATCGTTAGTGTTAGCCTAGACAATAGATTGAACACATTATATCTCATATCAAACTTTGGTTCTCACTGATGAATTCATTTTAATATGATAAAAATATAATATTCGTAGAAAGAAGCGAAATCAATCTTAAGATTGTTGGATAAGTTGATGCATAATTTATATTCTGCTCATACATGCATGCAAATACAAATAGAGTAATAACTTACTGAAACAATGGTATAAGTATAATTGGTAAGTATATTTTATACACTTATTTGGATCTAAAAATATAAACATTTTATAACTATTTTGAACAATCATTACCTAATTTATTGTATATTTTGTTTTATTATTTGAAATTAAATGAATGGAAGTGAAATTGAAAGAACGAAGCGAAAATTGACAAAAATTGGAATGTCTAAAGTTTAGGAACCAAGATATAAACACTCAACATTTGTGTAGATCTCACGATGAAGGTTCAAAAATGCAAGGGGTCAATTGAATGAAATTAGAAGTCAAAATGAGTGAAACATGACCAAAATATTTACACAAATCAATTTTCAACTACACAAGAATACAAGGCTCTTTCCCTACGAGATGCAGCTTCTCTTGTTGAGGTGAGCCCACTTGCTTTGTGTTCCATATTTCTAGCTGGAGATTGACACCCATTTTGGCCTTATACACGTATGAAGTAGAAAAAAGACATGCTCAGTAAGATTGTAGCCTTTTGAGTTATCTTTACAATCCAATTTGAACCGTCTCAATCGGATATCGGAAGAGAATGTTATGATAAAATTGCTAAAATAGATGCAATGCTGAAATTTTCCAGATAGGTGAAATTCTGGAATGCGGATTAGGGCGTGATTTTGACCCTTTTAAAGCCCCATAAAACTTTACAACACCAAAAAACGTGAAAACAACTATAAAGACAAGGAAAAAAAAAGACCCTTTTGAGGGATTCCATACATTGAGAGATACAAGCTACAACTTAAGAATCCAAGAGAAAATCGAAATAGGAGAAAAACATATAGTCATCACGATCGAAAAATGACCACTTCTTCGATAGTTGGGACACCAGCTTTGTGCTCCCAACCTTCTTATTCTCCCTATATGAAGAAAACTTGGCTGCTATCTAGCATCGTCGCGCACAGTTAAAATCCAAAACAGCTCTAGATTGTCGAATATTTGTAGTGAGTATGAAATTCAGAATCTTAATTCAATTCGTATTCCAAAGCTTTCATCAATTTCAGTTTGAAATCCCACATAATCAGCTACAATGCCTTGATTGAAATTGTGAATATTGTGAGAGAATTTTCAGTTACAATCCAAAACATGGTAAGTCTCCATGTCAGTATTTTTTATTATAATATATCCGATATAAAGTTTAAAAAAGTATAATAATATATATTGCAGTTATTTTAGTGATTGTTATTTATTCACGGGTACATGTGGTCCCCCCCCCCCGGCCCGCCCAACCAAAAATAATAATTAAAAAAAAAAAAATTACCCTTTGATAATGGATTGGGCTGTGTTATAGTCCCGCATTGGGCCCAAGTTGGCATCTGCTTTGATTTACTTATATATCCTTCAACTTGATTTATCGAAGTTGTATCACTTTTATGAATTCTCTTTAAGTTGACACAAAATAACAAATCAATTAAGTTTTCAATTTATCCCGGTCGATACCACATTGAATTGTGATTACTCATCTTTATATTATCCATTTATGTATGATTGGACATCCATATGACATCCACTTATCTCTTCCACTATATATATTTAATCCATGTTTGGTGGGGATTAAAATTAGATTTTTAGTAGGGTTGATAGAAATTTTTGAAATGTGGGTAGAAAATTTGCGAGACCTATAAAATATGTGATTAATATTGATTGTTTGACTTTGACTTCAATTAAAATTCGATTTTAATCAAGACCCAATAGGGACTTAATGAACATCATAGCTTTTAACAACTCAATACCAAGACCCGACTAATATAACTTGAGTATAATTAAACTAGTGATGGTGAGACTTGAGAATTCAAGTCTTTGTATGTTCTAATACCATGTTGAATTATTTAATTTGAAAACTTAAGACGAGGACCACATGTATATTATTTAGATATTGCCTTCAAGACTTCAACAAATTTTATTCAACATGCTTACACATTCTTTAATCCCACATTAGGTACTTCAAAGAGTCACTTTTTAGTATGCCGCAATTCTCTGTCATCAGCAAAGAATATGTGATTGATGTGTGGCTCATAGTGGGTATAATTAAAGAGTTAAGCTACACTTACAAAGATGGGTTACAAAGTTTGTTGACAATATAACATCCAAACCAATCATTTCAAAAATAGATTTTTAAATCATTTCAAATCAATAGTCTGGATTTTATCAACGCACTTTGCAATCCAACTTTATACAGGTAACTTTATTGATAATTAAAGCCTTGAATGGTTTAAAAATGGATCAGGGTACACGAACGTAGCCGTTAACAGTTTGAATGACCGAACACACATCTGGAAAGGTCTGAAATTATTTAATTCATGCGAGGCCCATGCATTTTGTAAGGATCGATCAACCAGGTGGACAATTTTCTTCTAACAATATGACTTTGTTCTTTAAAAATTGCTATGGACAAGCACTCGAGAAAAGATAGATAGTTAAGGTTGAATAAAGTATTATCCAATGAAATTGTATTTAGTTTTGAAAAAATGATTCGAGGTGAGCTGTTATTAATGAATCCAAATTTAGTGAAAAAATAAATAAATTATGCAGTTTAAACTCGACAATGTGGGACCCAATTGATGATCTGATAAACGAATTAGTAAACCGTTGAGCGGTAATACGGCAATTCATTCAAAGGAAACCTTGGAGCGGTGGAAAATATTATTATTTTAATAGACAGGTTTAAGCCGGCCGAGGCAAATCTCAAACTCCAATAAAAGTTCGTCTCTCTCGCCAAAGACAAAAAATTATCCCCTTTCCACAAAATGCCAGTCCTTTGCCAAATTTCCCAACGTTTAAATTTCAAAACCCATCAATTTCGCCCCCAAATTCTAAATTCATGGGTTTGACTTTAAGAGTTGTGCTATTTTGTTCAACTTAACGTAACAATTAATATTAATTTATATTAATCATACAGATTGTTGGATTTTTCAAAGTTACATATTTTCTAAAGTAAAATTGTACATTCTTCGTACTGATCTAGGGTGTTTATAATAGGGGGTAATTAACACAAAACGTTCTTATCTTTTAATATTATTGTACAAAACACCTCTACCATTTATGGCGAAAATCATTATTTTCATCAATTTTTTCGTGTAAAATGACGAATATATCCCATATTTAAATAAAACAATAAAAAGAAAAAAATAAAATAAAGAATAAATTGCAATAATACTCCCAAACTTTCTTAAAAAGTGCAATTTAGTTCAAATAAATTATTAAAAAGGCGATTAGCACAAAAGGTCATATCTTTCATTATTATTGTACAAAATGTCACTATCTTTCATTGTTTGATATTTTCACCTTTATTTTATATTTTATTGCAAAAATCGTTATTTTCATTAATTTTCTCAATTAAAAGTTATAAAATGACAAGTATACACTTCTCTTTATATAAACAAAAAGGGTGATAGGTGGGGGGAGACAAAAGGCACAAACAAAAATAAAGAAAATAAATATAAAAAATAAATTGCAGTTATATTCCCAACTTTAAAAAAAAAATTACAAATAAATAATTAGATCACGAGTCTTAGCAACAAGTTTGGCTTTACTTAAAAGATTGACTTTTTTTTCCCCATGTTTTGGAGATAATGACGGTGGTAACGTCAAAATAAGCCATCCTCTTCTACAAAAAAAGCAAGACCAAACATGCCAAAATAAACAATATATTGCACAAAGATTATCCCATTGTATCTAACATTTTCATTTTTAGTCATTCTTCAACTTCAATATCAATTTCCATAAGTAATCAAACATCCCTCCATATGTCAATAGAATAGTAAATCAGAAAATTCAAAGTATACAACAACAGGGCAAATACGTCACAAGATGATATCAACGGAAAATTTCATCTTTAGTCAAATTTATTGTTTAAGTAGAAAATTAATCCCTAACCTTTTAAAAGAAGCAAGTATGATCCGCAAGCTTTTGATAAAGTCATACAATAAGTTTCCAATCACAAGGACTATCTAAGTCTTTGTTAAATCATCGTTTATACATATAAAAAGGGATATCAATCCAAGCGGAGAAACAAAATCTGGTTTCTTAAAGCTAAATACACAAGCATCACGTTGTATTTTAATAGATATTTGTAGGGCTGGGCAAATCTCCCGAACCGAACCGACCGAATTGAACCGAACCCGACGATTCTTCTCAAATTAAATACCCGAACGGGTATCTGATTTGAGAACCGACGGGTGCGGTTCGGTTCTAGACCAAGAACCGAAGAACAAAATATTTCTAATTTTTTTTATATTGAGTAAATCAAATTATTTTAATTTTAATTTTTTCTAAACAAACTAACAATTTCTAAGTCCAAACTTTTGGCCCAATAATTTGTTTCATTTCTAATTTTTTAATTTTTGGCCCCATTACCCATTTTATTGTTTCATTTCTTAGCCCAATAAGATCCAATCCACTAAATAACTTTAAACACCTATACTAAAGTGCATAACGTTGTCTTGACTCTCGCAGCCTCACTGACATTTCAAAACCTATACAATCGTCGGCTGATGCTGTGACCTCCGATCGAAATTGCGACCTTTGCCGACCGAAGGTTTGACCGTAGCGATCATTTGAACAAGGTAGTCTACTAGTTTATAGCATTCCAAAATCATTGAATGTATCATTAGTTGTATTTATATAATGTTGTTATAAATGTTAAAAAAATTTAATTATAGTACATAATCGAACGGAACCGAACGGTTTCATAATTATATTTGGACCCGACGATTCCAATTACTAGATACCCGAAAATTTTGGTTCGGTTCGATTTTAAAAAGAACCGAACTGACCAGCGCCCACCCCTAAATATTTGGACAGTTTATTGTTGTTGGGCCAATTCAATAGTTACATGATGTCAAATATTAATTTAAATCATGAATTTCGTAAGTCCATAACCATTATATGCTTATCAATAACTCATTTCTATTACAATATGATTTTAGTAAATTATAATTTTATCCAAAAAATACCATAACATGCCCGTTTGGTACCCATTTTTTCTCAAAATGCATTTTTCTTTCTCTTTATTTCAGTCACACATTCTTTATTAAAATAATATTATACATAAATAAATTTTTTTTTCTTATTTTTCAATCACACATTTGCATCAATTTACTATTTAAAAATATATTTTTACATAAAAATTTCTCTCAAACACCCTCTAAAATAGGTTGGTGACCAATAATGCAATTCTTTCAAAAATAAATGCTAACGTTATTTCTGCAGTCGGATCCTCCCATATCAACCTGTATTCAAATGTCCGGATCCGCCCTACCCCAACCCAACCCCACCTGACGCCTCCTCTCTTGTCAACGTACACACAGTAGCCCCTGTCTCTATCGTACTCCATTTTTTTTTGTCAGTTCTCATTCCATTCCTCTCGCTTTTCAAGAACCAAGAAAACTTCCATTTTCGCTTTAATTCTCGGCCTTTTCCATAATCGATTAAAATCGAAAAAGAAAGAGAAATCTTCTTTGCAGACGAACATTGAAGTGCGAGGAGAAAACGACGAAAATGGAACAAGAAATGATGGAGGATGGTAATGACAATGTTATGGATGAGGAAATGGAATACAGTTTTATGGACAATGAGATTGATCTTGATTACGAGTTCGACGCGGCTCGATTCTACGACTTCAGCCGACCCGAGTCACTAGCCGAGACTCGCCATGCTGAGCTCTGGTTTCACTCCGCCGGAAGCTATCCGCCTTCTCGTATGATTTCTTTTCAAATTTCTTTTGTTTTTTGTTTCATTATTTATATTTTCGTTTCTAACGGTTTAATATCGTGTGTTGTACGTTGCTTTTAGATTCTTGTACCTTGCTCTGGCATCATTCCTTGATTTGTCCCCGTTTATGCTTTCAAAAATTAGTACCGAGGATGTGGTTTTGTCGATCGCAAGAGAAAAGTATAAAGTGATATGTTTAGTTAAGCTTAAAAATAAGTACAAGAATTTTTTTGTTTAGGAATATTTTAGATATGCCATTAATTTTATTTGAAGTTAAAGAAGGCACTTATTTTAGAATATACACACTTACAAATATGTATATTAAAACTTATTTACTTATAAGCTGACTTTTTAAGCTTAGCCAAAACATGCTCTAGAGTCCTACAAGCATAAGTTAGTTATATGAAGTTTGGCTTGTGTATCCTAAAATTTAGAAATTTTTGGAGATGAAATTATTATCAGCAGCACAATGGAAGTTAGGCATTTCTTTCTCAAAACTTGGGGCTTTTATACTATTGAAGAGTGACAAAATTGAATGATTTTTGAAGATTTATGTACTACTAGCATCGTAATTGTATTGTGTAATGTGTAAACATTGTTTCTTTTGTGGCTTAAATTTTGGAAATTAGTTTGTTTGCAATGCCAGAGAGTTTGGAACAATTTTTGAAGCTTAAATGTATTAGTCCCATTATTTTGTTGGACGGTGTGTAGGAATTCTTATACCTTGCTATGGCATTATCGTTGCCACATATCTTTGAAAATATTCAGTTTGAATAGTTTTATTTATTATTTTGCGTTTCTCTCAGAAAGGTAAAAATTTTATACACACCCGAAAAGGTGTAATATATTTTCTGAATTTTTTTTTTCCCAACAGCAATTCAGTTGCATGTAAGATGCACATTTATTCTTAGGATAACATAAAAATGGCTGGATGCCCAAAATCTGATTCGTATTGGACCTGGGATTGTCATAATGCTATAACTGTGGCAAACTGTCATTCTGTGTTTCTCGTGCTTGTTAATTTTTTTCTGCATTTTATTATTACATTGCCTTGGTTATCTCTATTTCAGTTTTTGTGGCAAAGTTACTTCAAAGAGAAGACAAGTCATTGGAGAATATTATTACCTTCCCAAAACATAAAGACGTGGAAATCATGAAATTATCAGATAGCGACACAGGTATTGAAGCACACCAAGAAACTTCTGCTGTGGACATGAAATGTCAAGGTATTATGCCCTGCAAATTCTTTATTTGTAATCAAATTTCTATAAAAATGCATTTATAAACCCTTGTTCATGGTCATGGACTTTCCATAATGTTGACCAATAATTGCTTGCATATTTGATTGATCGGAGTCCTCGTGGTAGGTTGTTTTGGATCATCGAAACACTGGGAATTCTGTTAGAGGGGAGAGACCGGGCCTCTCTAATAGCCCTGGAACTTGTAATTTCTTCTTCTTCTAGTTAATTGCCTAAGTTCTTTCAATTTCCATTATTCTTTTCTTGCCATAATTGTCACTCGAGCTGCAGGGTTCTATCAATTCTGGTATCAGAGCACCGAACTGGGAAGATGACAGTCTCCGATCGAGTGGGAGTATTGGAAACAAGGGTCGATGGCCTGCAGGAAAGAATGGAGGTGATGAAATCTGAGTTACAGAGGGATATGGCTGTGATTTTGGAGAGGCTGGAAATTGTGATGAAGAGATGGGACGGCCAAGAGCGTGACAGGAAGGAAAAAGGAGTTTCGTCCACTTCGACGGAACCCACTGCTAGCTCTGAAGGGCCACCTAAGGTTCAGGAATTGGGAGTTGTCGGGGGTGTAGGAAGAATGGAGAGTCGCAATCGCCGGTTGGAAATGCCTATTTTCAATGGAGAGGATCCAGATGGTTGGATCTTTCGTGCCGAAAGATATTTTAATATGAACCAGTTTACGAACTAGGAGAAAATTGAGGCCGCCGGAGTGTGTTTTGAAGACGAAGCTCTCGCATGGTTTCTCTGGGAGAGTGGCCGACAGCCGATTGTGAAGTGGGAGGACCTGAAAATCCTCCTGCTCGCCAGGTTCAGGCCAACACAAGAGGGCACCTTTCTGGAGAAATTTCTGTTGCTGAAGCAAGAGGGGACCGTGAGAGAATATCGCCGGATGTTCGAAGTTCTGGCTGCGCCTCTCCCGGATATTCCCGATTCGGTGCTTGAAGGGAATTTCATTAACGGGTTGAGCCCAATAGTTAGGGCTGAGGTTAGAATGCTGAAACCCCAAGGCTTGGGCCAAATTATGGAGACAGCCCAACGGGTTGAGGATCGAAATGAGTCGGTGAAAAGGGCCAATATTCTGGTCGGCCCATACCGCTCTAAGAATCCAATTGGTAGCCCAATTCCGGCCAACCCAATCCAATGCAGCCCCAGTTATTTCAATACTTACCCTCGATTGACCCAGGCGTCGTCCCTCTCTCACTCGCAAGCCCCAGCGAGCTTGCCCAAAACAACAGCGGTCGCATCTCCACGACCGTCGGCGGTAGCGAAATCAGGCAGCTCCTTCAAACGACTGACCGATGTTGAGCTGCAAGCTAGAAAGGAGAAGGGGCTCTGTTACCGTTGTGACGAGAGGTTCAGTCCGGGACATAAGTGCAAAAATAGGGAGTTGCAGGTTCTGGTCGTACAGGAAGAAGTAGGTGAAGACAAGGGTGAAGATGAGGAAGGGGAAGAGGAAGCTGCGGTAGGTGATGTGCTGGAGTTATCAATCAAGTCGGTAGTGGGGCTGACCTCACCAAAAACCATGAAGCTCGCAGGAGAAATTATGGGGAAGAAGGTGATAGTCCTCATTGATTGTGGGGCTACACAATTTCATTTCATGCGAGATCGTTCGAGAGCTGGAGTTGCCGATCTCTGATTCGGCCAGCTACGGGGTCCTTATGGGGAATGGAATGACTGTGAAAGGAGGTGGAATCTGTAGGGGTGTTGTGGTCTCGTTGCCAAAGATTGTGGTTGTGGAAGACTTCCTTCCCATGGAATTGGGCTGTACGGATGTCATCCTAGGGATGAAATGGCTGGAGTCCCTAGGGCGTACGCAGGTAAACTGGGGAACGTTGACGATGCGCTTAAAGGTGGCAGGGGAACCTGTTACATTGCAAGGTGACCCCAGTTTAAGTAAGACTCAGGTTTCCTTGAAAACGTTGGTCAAGACTTTTATGGAAGGGGAGCAGGGAATTTTGCTTGAGTTGGGCAGCTTAGGAGTTACAGCTGAGGCTGACACGGCTATGGTTTCCAACGAGATAGCAGAGCTACTACAAAACTACCGAAAGGTTTTTGATTGGCGCAACATACTCCCTCCAAAACGGTCTAGGGATCACTCCATTAATTTGTAACCCGGGGTTGCCCCTATAAACGTGCGACCCTACCGGTACCCGCACATTCAGAAGAATGAAATTGAGAAATTGGTAAGGGACATGCTGACTGCAGGGGTCATACGACCCAGTTTCAGCCCGTTTTCGAGCCCCGTGTTGTTAGTCAAGAAGAAAGATGGGAGCTGGAGATTCTGTGTAGACTACCGGGCTTTGAACAAAGTGACAATTCCTGATCGCTTCCCGATCCCCGTAATTGATGAGTTGCTGGACGAGTTGCATGGGGCTAAAGTATTCTCAAAGCTTGATTTGAAGTCCGGATATCATCAGATTCGAGTCCGACCAGAGGACGTTCCCAAGACTGCTTTCCGCACTCATGAAGGACACTACGAGTTTTTAGTTATGCCGTTTGGCCTGTCGAATGCACCAGCGACTTTCCAACACCTGATGAATAAGGTGTTCAAACCTTTTCTGCGAAGGTTCGTGCTAGTATTTTTTGACGACATTTTGGTTTACAGCCAGTCATTGGAGGATCATTTGCAGCACTTGGGGGTGGTTCTGGAAACATTACAGGATCATCAGTTGTACGCCAACAAGAAAAAATGTCTGTTCGGCCAGCTAGAGATTGAATATTTGGGTCATGTGATATCAGAATAGGGTGTAGCTGCAGATGGGTCGAAGATTGAAGCAATGGTCAATTGGCCGAGGCCGGAAAATGTCAGAGAATTACGGGGATTCTTGGGCCTCACAGGGTATTATCGGCGCTTTGTGAAGGGATACGCCAAGGTTGCCTGGCCCTTGACAGAATTACTAAAAAAGGATCGATTTCAGTGGGATGAAGTATCAGAGACGGCTTTTGAAAACCTCAAGACAGCCATGACTAACGTCCCTGTGCTAGCACTGCCGGATTTCTCACAAGAATTTGTAGTTGAAACCGATGCCTCGGGCCAAGGCTTAGGGGCGGTCCTAATGCAGAACAGCCATCCTGTTGCTTATTTTAGCAGGGTACTGCCACAATCAGCCAGACAGAGGTCAGTTTACGAAAGGGAATTAATGGCTATTGTATTCGCTGTTCAGAAATGGTGTCACTACTTAATGGGGCGACGTTTCTTGGTTCGGACAGACCAACGAAGCTTGAAGTTTCTTTTTGAGCAACGCTTGGTAGGGGAGGATCACCAGAGGTGGCTGACTAAATTAATGGGCTATCAGTTTGACATTCAGTATCGTCCGGGGTTAGAGAACAAAGCCGCGGATGCACTTTCCCGAGTCCAACCGTCAATGAATCTGTTGGCCTTATCTACTCCGAAGAATTTACAGTTGGAGGAGATTAAAAGGGAGGTTGAGGCAGATGACAAATTGGGCAGGCTCGCCAAGGACCTGCAGTCCGGATCCAAAGTTAAATCAGGATATGCCTTGATTGATGGAGTACTGCGTTATCATGGTAGGGTTGTGTTGCCTAAGGATTCTCCGTTGGTCACTCTCCTTTTGCAAGAGTGTCACGACTCCAAGGTTGGGGGACACTCGGGCTTCCTCAAGACATACAAACGGGTATCCCGAGAGGTCTACTGGCTGGGGATGAAGAAAGCCGTGAAGGATTATGTGGCAAGCTGTGCAGTGTGTCAGCAAAACAAATATGAGGCCTTATCACCTGGGGGATTATTGTAGCCACTACCCATTCCTGATTTAGTTTGGGAGGATATTTCAATGGATTTCATCGAGGGTCTGCCTCGATCAGGAGGGGTGGATACAATCTTGGTGGTTGTAGACCGCCTGAGTAAGTA